ACAGGCAGAAAATAAATTACCTAACCCCTCTCTTCAGATTTTAAATTCTGTTGTTCTTATTTTTGCTGAGATCCGACTCCGACCTCACAGTCTTGACATTGGTTGGTTTAAATTCTTTTAAAGAATTTTTTTTTTACTTTAAATTTATTTTATGTGTATGGATGCTTTTCCTGTATTTGTATATTTACTCTCTGTTCATTCCTGGGGAAAATTTTTTTTCTCTCTTTTTTTTTTATTGAGAAAAGGAAAAAAAAAAGTTTCCGCCTCCTCCCAGCCTCCCACCCTTCTCCCCCTCCTCTCATTCTTCTCCCCCTCCCCCCACTCCTCTCCTCCTCCCTCTCCAGTCCAAGGAGCAGTCAGGGTTCCCTGCCCTGAGGAAAGTCCAAGGTCCTCCCCCCTCTGTCCATGTCTAGGAAGGTGAACATCCAAACTGGCTAGGCTCCCACAAAGCCAGCACATTACGTAGGGTCAAAACCCAGTGCCATTGTCCTTGGCTTCTCATCAGCCCTCATTGTTCGCCATGTTCAGAGAGTCCGGTTTTATCCCATGCTTTTTCAGTCACAGTCCAGCTGGCCTTGGTGAGCTCCCAATAGATCAGCCCCACTGTCTCAGTGGGTGGGTGCACCCCTCGTGGTCCTGACTCCTTGCTCATGTTCTCCCTCCTTCTGCTCCTCACTGGGACCTTGGGAGCTCAGTCCAGTGCTCCAGTGTGGGTCTCTGTCTCTGTCTCCATCCATCACCAGATGAAGGTTCTATGGTGATATGCAAGATATTCGTCAGTATTGCTATAGGATAGGATCATTTCAGGTTCCCTATCCTCAGCTGCCCAAGGAACTAACTGGGGGCATCGCCTATTGTATGTATCAGAGAGAGAACAAGCAGAAACATCTGAATGAATCCAGAACAGAGACAGAAAGTAGTAGACTGAATATGGGCAGCACCCTGGCTCTGGTTCTGAGAGAAATGGAAGGAGAACAAAGGGATAGAGAGAGTGGGCATGGTGAGGGCTATAGGAGAAGAGCTAGAGATGAAACAAGAGAAAGTAAGCAAGAATAGGAAGGTTATAAGGAGAGTGAGTAGCTGGGGATAGGGGAGTCTACGAGCTGGAAAAATTTAGGGTAGGGGTGGTGTATTGGGTGTACTGAGGAAGCCTGGAGACCAACATGAGCTTTGTATGCTAATAAGCACCACACATAGCCATTTGTCCTTTCTTCTAGTAGTAATAAGGGAAATTTCTCCTTTGGTAGCAGGGAATCAGCTTCACAAGTTCTTGGGAAATGCTGACTTTTCCATAACCCCCAGAATTTGGGACAATGGAGTTTGGTTTCCACCTGACAGTTGTTAGCTATCATTTGTTTTGGAAGTGAAGCTAAGGTTCTGTTTAATATCATCAAGTGTTTTTAAACCACTGAGCCACCTTTCTAGCTTCCATAGACTATTTTAAAAGCTCAAAGGAAATAAAAAGAGAAGAGGTGAAGGGTGAACTTTTTAAATCTGTGCATCAAGTGGGACCTTTATGTAAACTGTTAGGGTCCTGGAGAAGTCCCAGAAAAGACTTTTGCCCATTCAAGCAATCAAGAGCATTCTTTTTTTTAAATCTCAAAAATAGAAGTACCATCATGCTAGGGTTGCACATCTAACACAAAGGCAAATGGTGAATGGTGACCCCCAAGAAAAGGTTGCAGTCTCTTTTATACAACTAGAGGAAAACAGTTCTACATGGCTAAAATTCTAAAAGCAGTGTGATGATTCTATCTGGGATTGACTTATACAAGTGGCAATTATATTAGTACATTTCTAATTAGTTAGGGCCAATGGGTATAGCTTCTACATTATTGGGCATGTCTGAACAATCCCAGGCTTTGTCTTTATTTGGTCATTGCCTTAAAGGTAATGGAGGTTCTGGCCCAGGCTTAGTATGTGCAGTCTTCACTGTCAAGGGGCACTAGTGATTGGTTGCTCCTTGTTCATGTCTTCCTCAGAAACTATTTTGTTCAGTTTCAAGAGGCAGGAACTCAGGCCTAGTTCTTAACTGAGTTATTAGGGGCCTAGCATTATATTTGTGTGGCCCTTCCATAAACAAAAGTTTGTAATGGTTTGGGGGATAAGAGGAGTTTTTTTTTTTTAAAGAAAAAGATTTGGGTTTTTTATTGTAAACACTAGTTTTATGTTATCTGATAGAAGACTCATTGAACATTTCTTATAGAAACATTATGTCTTTTGTTAGTGTTTTACTTACATGTGTGAAGTTTTGCCAGTGTATGTGTACTGCATGCATAACTTGTGCCTTTAGATGACCAAAAAGGGACTTGGAATTAGGGATAGTTCTTAGCCATACTGATGATGATTATTGAACTTGGGGTCTTCTCTCCAGCCTCAGAGTTTTATTTTTTTCAGAAACTCTGAACCTTCTAATTTTTATTTTATTGAGGGTTTATTTCTTCACCTCCTTTTTTTCCCTTATTTTTCTTTTTTGAGACATAGTGTCTATATGTAGTTCTAGTTGTCCTGGAACTTGCTGTGTAAAACAGGCTGGCCTCAGACTCATGCAGATCTATCTGCCTTTGACCGCTAAGCACCATTACTTCTGAGTTATTTCTTCTTCTTTGCCAGCATTTATTTTCCTGTCTTTCCTCTTCTTAAGGAGAGTAGCTAATAGCAAACCATGTTAGGTATCACAGAAACTCAGGACAAATGACTGAAGTATATATTTAACATATTAATGTAGATACTGGTTGCTAGTGTCCCTCAGTCCCTCAGTCCCTGCTCCTGAGCTTTGTGTCCCTTCTCCAAGCTTCTGTTTTCCAGTCACTTGGTCTTCTGTGCCTCCTTAGTGCTCTTGGTTCCCATGTGCTCTTTTTGCTTCCTCTCTTCTTTCCCATCCCCTAATGACCTGGTTCAGCCCACTGGCCTAGTTCAGGCTGGAATTTTCTAGATATCTCTTTGTCCTGCCTCCTATCTACAATAAACCATTTCCTCAAATATATCTAGTACTAATCAGGTCTTCATGTTTTCATTCAGGTAGGTATCATGTCTTGGCTTAAAATGCTTATATACAGTGAATAATAATAATAATTTTGTTTTGTTTTTTGTTTTGTTGAGACAGAGTTTCTCTGTATTGTGCTAGCTGAGAACTTGCTCTGTAGACCAGGCTGGACTTAAACTCACAGAGAGCCACCTGCCTGTGCCTCTTGAGTGAATGTATGTCATGACTTTCACTTGTTTGTTTTCATATATTTCTTGTCGTTTATAACGCTTCTTTGATAATCTCTCCATTTTAATGATTTCTTCAGTTTAAATTGTGTCATCTGTCTGTGATTGTTGAATTTGTTAGACTTTCTTCTTGTTTGTTTATTTATTTATTTGTGTTTTTCAAGCTGGAGTTTCTATGTGTGGCATTGGCTGTCCTGGAACTCGCTCTTTAGGTCAGGCTGGCCTCAAACTCAGAGATATTCTCCTGCCTCCTTTTCCCCAGTGATGGGATCAAACACATGCACCACCACTGCCAGCTTCTGCCCACTTTTAAATTTTTATTTTTGATTTTGTTACAATTTCATTATTTATAGGAAATTGAAAAGAATTGAAACACAAAGAGACCTCAAAGGCAAAATCAGACAATATTAGTCTGAGATAGGCATCTCAACAATTGACAGTAGTGTGACTATGGTAAAGCAGTATAGGTCCTTGAGCTTGGTGATGTCACTGCCCATGGTAGGTTAGTTTTTCTCAGATCAGTCACTTTTCAAGAAAATATGTCTCATACTGCTTATTGACATTGTGGTGGCAACAATTTTCTCAGTTGAAGTTCTTAGATGACTTGTGTCCAGTTGGCAAAAAACTAACCAGGACTGTACCCTGAAAAAGATACTGCTAAGCTAAGCAAAGAAGCTAATACTATGGCATTACAAATGACTTTTCCATGGCTGGATAGATAGCACAGTGATAAGAACACTTGGCTGTTCTTCTGAGGACCTGTGTTTGATTCCCAACACCCACAGGTTGGTTATCTCACAACTGTCTGTAACTCTATTCGTAGATGATCTGATGTTCTATTCTGGCATTTGCTGCTATCCACAACAAATGATATGTACATATGTACATATAGGAAACATACCCATGAACATAAATATGTTCAAAAAAAATTAAAAAACAAAAAGCAAGAAACTTAGAATAACAAGCCACTCTTTTTTTTTCTAAATATTTATTTATTATGTATACATTATTCTGTCTGTGTGTATGTCTGCAGGCCAGAAGAAAGCACCAGACCTCATTACAGATGGTTGTGAGCCACCATGTGGTTGCTGGGAGTTGAACTCAGAACCTTTGGAAGAGCAGGCAATGCTCTTAACCACTGAGCCATCTCTCCAGCCCCCAACAAGCCACTCTTGTTGGTAATTGAACATAAAAAAGTAGGAGTAGAAAGCTTAAATATTGCGTCTTAAATTAGTTTGTACCCAGGTAATTTATACATAGAGATATGTTTGCCAATTTGAAAAAGCATGTATGTATGTGAATAGCTATTATACCTGTTGTATGTTTCTTACCACAGGTGACACTAGATAAATGTGTTACATATTTGAAATGTAGTCATTTTGAAAATTAGAAAAAATAGATATATTTTTATTAAGTTTTACACACTGTTGTATAATTTGGCCTATGAAGTTCATATTAAATTTCTTAAGATTTGATTTGATGCAGAAATGTATTGGCTTTCCAGGTTTCCAGGTAATCACCATTTAATAATTTTTGTCATTTAGTATTTTATTCATTTTATGCTTAAAATATTGACTCAGGATTTAATATGCAAAAATTTTTGCACAAATGTAATTTTGAGGATTTCTTGATAACATTTCAACATTAATCACTACCTTTTAATACCTATTTTGAGTTAAATATTTCAGTTTTATACTATAGTAGTTTCATTTTATAGACTTTTAAAAAGAAATAAAAAGCTATTTTATGGAATTCTAACACATTGTATTTTCACTTTCTTTTGGCAGCATTTTCAGCTAGCTTTGATCGACAGTAATGCCTGTACTTTGTCCAGTGTGGAAAGTAAGTATTTTTGTCTTATGAATGTGAGTTTCAAATTATATGTATTGTTTTTGTTTCTGTGATTTAATTTCTTTGGGTGCATTTTTAATAATAAAGAACACTAGAGAAATGATTTACTTCTTTGTATCAAATATTAGTATAAGATCCATACCCCCCTTCTGTTGTCTTTAATGGGAAAAATCCTCTTCTGTTGTAATGTCTTAGGATTAGCATATTATAGGGACTATTTAGGGGCTGTGAGACCTGCTCCAGCCCCTATCCAGGGTTCCAAAGGCGAAATGCTTCTTAGGAGTGAAGGGTCAGAGATCTCTATAATGACTTTACCCACAATCTGAGGGTCATGATCTTTATTTCATGTGCTCTTTATTGATCTGTAGTGCTGCAAAAGTTTCTAGCTTATAAACATGTACAATCACCAATTCTCCAACCCTAATCATGTACAAGGCCAGAGTTTTTCAGGGTCCCAGAAACAGGTAAAAGTATTATACAAAGGCTTGCTCAGCCTTTCTTTATAGCTCAAAGTGGGAATGGTTAAGCCTCTGATAACTTCTTAAAGGGAAAGGGGGTTAATTAAGAGAGAGACTAAGTCATTAAAGAGATCTAAGAGGAGAAGATGTGAACTTTTGTTGTTATCTTAAATGGGATTAGGTAAATAAGCTGAAAGTTATAAACAGTGAAAATCAGGAGCAAAGCAAGAACCATCTTTTCAGGATGCTGCTCTTCTCAGAGGACAGAAGGAGTATTTGGTAACTAGGCAACATATGTAAGAAACAGGGAAGCCTTTGGTGTTTGGTTCCTGTTGGCACTTACACCACATGTTAACTGGCTGAAAGGAGTTTTTTGGCTCTAAGAATTCCATCCATATATTCTAAGTTCATACACTGATCTGGTTGAGAGACTGATTACCTTCTTGCCAGAATCATGCATTGTTGGGAGGAGTCATCCAATATACCAGTGCATAGGGGGAGTTGTGCTCAGTAATCAGTTAATGTACTGCTAAGGTTTTTGCGAAGAATCCCCCCATAGACGGGGGGTACTGTGACTTCACAGGGAATTTATAGTAAGGACAGTGACTGTTCATAATACATAAACTTCAATCACCCTGCATGCGGGCCTCCTTCATTGGAATTTAGGATCCCAGTGGGCAAACTTGGTGATTTATCAGCTGAATTCTCACTACATCATCCTATGGATGGCAGCAAACTATGACTGTCTTTGAAATTTTCTTTCAAAGAATATTTTAAAAATTTGCTTCATAAAGAATACTAAGTGTAAACACGCTTTCTTTTTTTAAAAAAATTTAAATGAATGAGCAGTAAGTGTAAGTTGTAGTAATATACTGCTTTCAGGCCTAAGAAATGACTAACATCTTTAAAATTATATGATTTGTGTTGGGCATAACATTTATATATAATTTGAAACATATTATGGAATAAAGTTTGTTTTGGTGTCCATATTTGTCAGTTTTTAGTCTGTAATTGAAATTGGCTTATTTGAACATTTTCTATTTGAACAGTTATATTGCTTTAAATATGTGAAGAATAAAATATTAATAATGTCTTTACCTTCTGAAGTATAATACTTCAGCTATGATAGTGAGTCAGTATGGAACCTGAGACTAATCTGGTGTAAAGTCAGATTGTAAGAATATGACAGAGTTACCTCTGGTAGTTATTTTCTTATTACATTCACCAGATGTGTACACACATAAAGAAGTAGAGTTTTAATTTTTTTTCCTTTTCTTTGCTTTTAATCCTCTTTTAATCCTTTCCTACAGTAATGAAATGACATGAGATTTTTATTTACTTACTGTAGAAGTCAAAGAAACATATTAAAAATGAAGTGAAGTAGAGAAAATTCTCAACCTTATTTATATTGCAAATGAAATTTTTGATTGTGTATATGTGTGTTTATATTACTATTTCTTTTGATGTATAGGAAATTTTTTTATTTAATCTTAATGCTGCTGCCTGGTTTAGTTTTTTATTTTTACAACATAAAGTCTCAAAATTGACAACTTGTTTGACTTTTACAGATTGATTTTAGTTAATAAATATTTTTTTCTATTTGTTTATTTATTTATTTTTTAAACATAGTCTCAGTACATAACCTGGCTCTCCTAGAACTCACTGTGTAGTCTAGGGTGGCCACAAACTCTCAAGATCTTCCTACCTCTGTTTCCTAAGTATGCACTAACATGTGTAGTTCCAAATATGTTTATAAAGCAATTTAACAGTTTTCTAATGAACTGTTCGCAGATGTATTTATTGAGAATTTAACAATCCTGGAGATTATATATTAAATGAAGCTTTTCCAGTTCGTAGTATAGTCACTGGATCATAATCTCTTAAGCTTTGATTTTATGATTGTTATTTCTGTCAGGCTTTTTAAGCAGATTTTTTAAAGCACTTTTTTTCATTTGCATGTCTTACCTGCATGTATGTACACCACATATGCCTGACATTAATGGAGGTTAGAAGAGGGCATCCAATTTCCTCGAACTGAGTTTGAGATAATTATGAGCTGCCATGAGGGTCTTTTTGGGAGTGGAAGATCAGTCCTCTTAATCTCTGAGTCATATCTCCAACTCTTTAGTAGAATCTTTGTTATATTATTTTTAGTGTTGCCAGGTGGTGGCAGCAGTGGTGCACACTTTTAATTCCAGCACTCAAGAGGCAAAGACAGGCGGGGCCTTTTTGAGCTACATACAAGCCAATATGGTCTACAGAGTTAGTTTCAGGACAGGCTTCAATGCAATAGAGAAACCCTGTCTTGGGGGTGGGGAAGAATGTCAGTGTAAAGACATCAAGAGGGGTAAAATGGAAGAGAAAGGTTGGAGGTGTAAAGGATGCAACAAGAGTTTTGGGTTTGCATTTAAGATTTTTCTTCCTGGGCTGGAGAGATGGCTCAGAGGTTAAGAGCACTGGCTGCTCTTCCAGAGGTCCTGAGTTCAATTCCCAGCAACCACATGGTGACTCACAACCATCTGTACTGACATCTGGTGCCCTCCTCTGGCATGCAGGCAGAGGCAGAATGTTGTATACATAATAAATAAATAAATAAATCTTTAAAAAAATTTTTTTTTTAAAAAAAAGAGTTTTCTTCCAAAAGAAAATGGATAGAAATATACTTTATGTAATTTGAAAAGTTCTTTAGTAGAAAAGTTCTCATAAATAAACAAATTAAAAAATATATCATATTTAATTTCAGATGTTTGTATTTTGTTTGTTTGCTATAGTGATCATTAGTGTTGAATAATTTAAGCCATTGAAATGGGGAATACCTGCCAAATAATCTGTCTTTTACTTTGGAAGTATCCTTATTTTATAATTGTATGGTTTTAGTTAGTTAATCTGTATTTTGTTTTTATTTTTAAATTCTGATTATTACTAATTTTCTGAACTGTGTTTTTCTTTGTATGTATGTGTGTAGTGCTATGAATGTTTACATATTTCTTTGTATATCTGTGTCTGTGTGTGGGTATATGTCATAGTTTGATGTTGTGTCTCTCTTGTTCTCTAATATATTGAGGAAAGGTTTTTCATTAAGGTTGTAGCCAGCTTGTGTCTGCTGGGTTTAACACTGCCACATACACCTTTTATTTTGGAATTCTAGTACTCCCCCATGTGGGGTGAATGTTTAACTAGCTGAATCATATCCTCAGGAACAACCTTTGCTTTTTCTTAAGGAAATATTCTTTATATTGAATTGAATATGAATAGAAGGACATGAAAAAATTGTTCTCTTTTGTGAACATAAGAAAATTTTTTTGATGTCAGACAGCAAGTTATAAGAATTTAAAAATTTGGGGCTGGAGAGTTGGCTTGGTGGTTAAGAGTACTTACTGGCTGCTTTTCCAGAGGTCCTGAGTTCAATTCCCAGCAACCACATGGTGGCTCACAACCATCTATAGTGAGATCTGGTGCCCTCTTCATTCATGAAGGTTAACTTGCAGAGCACTCATACATAAAATATAAGTAAATAAGAATTTTTTAACAAAGAATTATTTTAATTCTTTGATCTGAAATTTCCCCAATAAGTTTTTTGTTTGCTTGTTTCCATGCCTTCTGTTTACTAGTATTCTGGGTGGGTGGGTGGTCTCTGTGATTCATGCACTTTGAGTATGTGATTGTCTTCTTTCGAAGCAGTTTCTTACTAATCTAGAATCTTATCAGCTAGGCTGACTGAGGTATAGGGTTCCATATGATTTTGTCCTTCAATGTTGGGGGTTTGAACTCAGGTCGTGTTTGTAGACTAAACACTCTTTTCCACTGGATGGTTTTTCAGCCTTTTGTATGAATACTTTTCTATAGATTTTTCATTCATATACCATGAATAAATAAATTAAAATTTTAATGTAATGATTTCTAATCAATATTTTTCTTATTTGGCTTATAATGTTTTACTGTTTAATATAATTTATTAAAAATTTGCTCAAATGTTCTGGCATTATCAATATCTATTATGGATTATTGTATTCTTACCTTTATTTTAAACTTGGATGAATTGAAATTTGCTTTTTTCCCTGATCCGTTACAGTTCAGTTTCACATTGCTCAGTTATATGAAACCCAGGTAAGTGTTTAAATTTATCTTTTTAAATAGGTTTTAAGTTTTGTCAATGTGACAAAATATGTGAGAAAAACCCATAATTTCAGAGTTTTCATTCCATGGTCTTTTGGTCTAGAATTCTTTCTGTGTTTGTACCAATGCAGAATATCATGGCAAAAAATTTATGGTAGAGCAAAGATATTTGTTTCATGGTAATCAGGCAGTATAGAGATTGATAGGAAAGAATCATGTATTGAAATATTTATCTTTCACAAGCTTATCACATTCTTTCTCCAATTATGCACACCTTTTAAAAACTCACACAGCAAGAAAGTCATCAGCATTCTCATAATCTAATCATTCCTCAATATCACTACTAGCTGTGTACCAACCAATATTTAATACAGCATTTTGACAGAACACTTAATGTCTGTTCCCCCTTACCCCTCAGACTGGGTTTCTCTGTAGCTTTGGAGCCTGTCCTGGAACTAACTCTTCTACACCAGGTGGCTTCAAACTCACAGAGATCCCCCTATCTTTTGCCTTCCAAGTGCTGGGATTAAAGGTGTGCATCACCGCACCCAGCTCCATTTTCATCTTTTTTTTTTAATATTTATTATGTATACAACATTCCTTCCATGTATGCTTGCATGCCAGAAGAGGGCACCAGATCTCATTCTAGATGGCTGTGAGCCACCATGTGGTTGCTGGGAATTGAACTCAAGACCTTTGGAAGAGCAGGCAATGCTCTTAACCTCTGAGCCATCTCTCCAGCCCCCCATTTTCATCTTTTAAATGCAAAATGCATCCTGTATGATTTTTATTGTTTTAGGTTTTGTAGTTTCATTTATCTTTTAATGTATTCATTTTATTAAATAGTTCTGAAATTATTTTAATGACAAAATTATTCAGGATAGCTGTCTAGTAGTTTCCATAGCTGGTTCAAATACTAGTATATTTTGCAGGCAGGGCAATGTGGTTGGGTTGTTAGTCTGGAGTACCTATGTAGACAATTGGGGTGAAGGTTCTACATAGTCACTAGATCCAACTTCCATGTTCAGAGAATCGTATAGGTGTTGTCTTCAGCCATGGCACCTTGCTATCAGTTTGTGGAGAGCAACCTGCTGACTTGCCAACAGCATGGTTTGGGAATTTCTATGGAATCCTTTTAGCTAACAACTCAACTAGATGTAACCCAGGCACAATATGGGAAGCTTCATGATGAAAAGAGATGGGCAGTTTGATCTCTTAAAATATTTGGAGACTTACTTTCAAACACTTCAATTTTTACTGTCCCTCCTTTTATTCCCTCCTTCAGTCCCATCTCATGTTGAAGGAGCTGCGGTGGGCTGCGTTCCCACCCAGCTCCGCACAGCTAGCTTTACCTGAAATAATTACACGGAAAGTGTATTCTTTTAAACACCGCTTGGCCTATTATATCTAGCCTTTTCTCGGCTAACTCTTGCACCTGGACTAGCCCATTTCTAATAATCTGTTTAGCCCACGAGCTGGCTTACCAGGAATGATCTTAATCTGCATCTCCCGGGAGTGGGAGAATCATGGCGACTCTGACTCAGCTTTTTTTTCCCAGCCTTCTGTTCTGTTTACTCCACCCACCTAAGGGTGGGCCTATCAAATGGGCCTAGCAGTTTCTTTTTTTTTTTTAAATATTTATTTATTTATTATGTATACAATATTCTGTCTGTGTGTATGCCTGCAGGCCAGAAGAGGGCACCAGACCCCATTACAGATGGTTGTGAGCCACCATGTGGTTACTGGGAATTGAACTCAGGACCTTGGGAAGAGCAGGCAATGCTCTTAACCTCTGAGCCATCTCTCCAGCCCGTCTAGCAGTTTCTTTATTGCTTAACCAATGAAATCAACAGATTGATATATGACACTCCCCCATCAATCTCACCTTCTGCTTCCTACCTGATCTTCCTGTTCTTTCTCCCCCATTCCAGTCCACCTATAAAATATATTCCATTTCTCCTTCCTAGGGACATCCATATCTACCCCCTATTTGTTCCTCAATGCCTAAACTCTCTGGGTCTACAGATTGTAACTTGGCTATCAATTATTTAATTGCTAATAGCCAAATATAAATGAGTTTATACTATATTTTTTGGGGTTGGGTTTCTCACTCAGGATGATTTATTCTAGTTCCATCTATTTATCTGCACATTTTATGATGGATTTTTTTTCAAAAATTGAGTTAATACCCTATTGTGTAAAATTATCACCTTTATACATTATTCTGTTGAGGGACATGTAGGTTTTTCCTAGATTTTGGATATTATGAGTGTGGTAGTAATGAATATAGTCGAGCAAGTGTCCTTTGGGTATATACCCAAGAGTGGTATAGCTGGTTCTTGAGGTAGATCAGTTTTCATCTTCTTGAGGAACCAGATTATTGGGGCAAATTGCATTTAAACTACCACAGGGACTTTTGATGTTTAGTGATATTTAAGACTTGTGATTATTGATTCCTGTTATGTTATTGTTGATGATGGTGTGTGTGTGCACTTATATTCGTTTTGATTTTGTAGGTTTGAGATTATTTTTCATGCTTTCATAGTTGGTAGTTAACCTCTTTAGGTTTGAATTTTTCTTCTTGCACCTTCTGGAGGAATGTATATGTAGATGAACATTTATTAAATTTGTTCTATGATGAAACATCTTATTTTCTCTCTTTATAGTGATCATATGCTGGGAGTAGTAATCTGTGGACTCTTGGAATGTACGAGCCGTTTCAGAGTCTCCTTTGAGAAGTCAGCTATAATTCTGATTGGTCTGCCGTTACATGCTACTTGATTTTTCTCTTGCAGCTTTTAATAGACTTTCTTTGTTCTATACATTTGCTGTTTTTATTCTCCTATGTTGAAGGGACTTTTCTTTTTGCATTTCTTGTGTAGTAATCTTTTTCTTTAGGTTAGGTAATTTTTTTCTATGAATTTATTGAAAATATTTCCTATGCCTTTGACTTGTATCTTTTCTCTTCCTTTATATCTGTTCTTAGGTTTGGCTTTTATATTGTTCCAGAATTCCTAGATGTTTTGTTTCTGGAGTTTTTTAGATTTATTTATTTTTAATTTATATATCCATTTCTTTTATTGTATCTTTAATGCCTAAAATTTCATCTCTCTTATATTCCTTTTTAATGTTTTCATTAGTAACAATCTTGTTTTATTTTAATTCTTTTTATTTTTTGAGCTATATCTTTTTCTCTGATCTGCTCCCTTTTTCCCTCACCTTTTCCCCTTTCCCATGATCCCTCATGCTCCCAATTTACTCAAGAGATCTTGTCTTTTTCTATTTCCCATGTTATTTATTTTATGTCTAAAAGCCATTTATGAGTGAGTACATATTATATTTGTCGTTTTGGGTTTGGGTTACCTTACTCTATGATTTTTTTATTTTTTATTTTTTTTCTCTTTTTTTTATTGCGAAAAGAAGAAAAAAAATAAACAAAAAACAAGTTTCCACCTCCTCCCAGCCTCCCATTTCCCTTCCCCTCCTCCCACCCTTCTCCCCCTCCTCCCACTCCTCTCCCCCTCCTTCTCCAGTCCACAGAGCAGTCCGGGTTCCCTGCCCTGTGTTAAGTCCTAGGTCCTCCCCCCTCCGTCCATATCTAGGAAGGTGAACATCCAAACTGGCTAAGCTCCCACAAAGCCAGCACATTAAGTAGGATCAAAACCCCCTGCCATTGTCCTTGGTGTCTCATCAGCCCTCATTGTTCGCCATGTTCAGAGAGTCCGGTTTTATCCCATGCTTTTTCGGTCACAATCCAGCTGGCCTTGGTGAGCTCCCCGTAGATCAGCTCCACTGTCTCAGTGGGTGGATGCACGCCTCGTGGTCCCGAATTTTTTGCGCATGTTCTCCCTCCTTCTGCTCCTCCTTGGGACCTTGGGAGCTCAGTCCAGTGCTCCAGTGTGGGTCTCTGTCTCTATCTCTATCCATCACCAGATGAAGATTCTATGATGATATGCAAGATATTCGTCAGTATTGCTCTAGGATAGGGTCATTTCAGGTTCCCAATCCTCAGCTGCCCAAGGAAGTAACTGGGAACCTCATCTTGGGCACTAGGGAGCCCCTCTAGTGTCAAGTCTCTTGCCCACCCTAAAGTGGCTCCCTTAACTAAGAATTGTGGTTCCGTGCTCCCCTATCCACCTTTCCTTTATCCCAATTCTCCTGTTTCCCCAGGTCCCCCCTCCTTCCCTTCTACCTTTTCTCTCCCCGTCTCCCCTTACCCCCATCCCACCCCACCCCCAAGATCCCATTTTCTCCCCGGAAATTTGGTCTACTTCCCTTAGCCAAGAGGACAACTATATGTTTTTCCTTGGGTTCACCTTCTTACTTAGCTTCTTTAGGTTCACCTATTGTAGACTCCGTGGTCCTTATTTATGGCTAGAAACCAATTATGAGTGAGTACATCCCATATTCATCTTTTTGGGTCTGGGACACCTCACTCAGGATAGTGTTTTCTATTTCCATCCATTTGCATGCAAAATTCGAGAAGTCATTGTTTTTTACCGCAGCGTAGTACTCTAGCGTGTATATATTCCATACTTTCTTCATCCATTCTTCCATTGAAGGGCATCTAGGTTGTTTCCAGGTTCTGGCTATTACAAATAATACTGCTATGAACATAGTTGAACAAATGCTTTTGTCATTTGATAGAGCATCTCTTGGGTATATTCCCAGGAGTGGTATTGCTGGGTCCAGGGGTAAGTTGATCCCGAATTTCCTGAGAAACCGAAACACTGACTTCCACAGTGGTTGCACAAGATTGCATTCCCACCAGCAATGGATGAGGGTGCCCGTTCCTCCACAGCCTCTCCAGCAAAGGTTATCCTTGGTGTTTTTGAGTTTAGCCATTCTGACAGGTGTAAGATGATATCTCAAAGTTGTTTTGATTTGCATTTCCCTGATTGCTAAGGAAGTTGAGCATGACATTAAGTGTCTTTTGGCCATTTGAAGTTCTTCTGTTGAGAATTCTCTGTTCATTTCAGTGCCCCATTTTT